TCAGTTCGGTCTATATAAATGTATATCCTCCCCATTTATGGGGTAGGATATAGAATAGCAATGCACACTGTTTGTTCATTCATCATTCTATGTCATTCCTATATTTTTTTACTAGCCGAAAATGTATTCATTTTAAGATCCGACTACACCCTTTACAGAGTGCGCTCAATGAGCTCCATACCGTAGTCCTCCTTCAGGGTCTTGATAAGAGGCTCACAGATGTCCCAAGTAACGGGAGCGAGAACACCCTATAATATACGTCAGTAAAAGAAGAATTCCGAGAGCTAAAGGGAAGTGGATAAACATACAGTCTTGCTGATAGTACCATCGAGAACCTGCTTAACAGCAACACCGCAAGGAATACCAACGGTGCGGGCCATAGCCGAGCTGACGGGGTTACCGTACTCGCACAGGGTGGAAGTGCGGGTCTCCTTGGAGCCGTCCTTGTTCTCGATCTCGAACTTGTGCTGGAGCATAACAAGGTCACGCTCGTCGGGACCGTACTGCATCTTCTGTTCGAGGGTGGCGCAGAGGGTGTCGAGGGCGTTTCCGCGGGGGATGGTCTGCTCGTCGGAGAAGAGACCGATCCAGCGCAGGCCGGAAAGGAGACGATCGCGCTCGTCGTTGTTGGGGAACTTGGTCTTGGAGGCGATGGCCCACTGCAGATCCTTCTCAGAAGAAGAGGTGGCGCCGAGAACCTCCTTGGTGGCCTCCTTCCATGAGGTGGCCTTATCAAAGACGCTGTTGGGGGCGTCGTTGAGGAAACCAATGTCGACAAGGACCTTGATCATCTCGGGGAAGCCCTGGTAACGGAGGGTACCGCGAATAACGGTCTGGGCCTCGGGGATACCGTAGCGCTCGCGGAAGGGAGTCTGGAAAGATTAGTTAACTGAAATCAAAGACTTGGAATGCATATGTGCCATACAGAATCGCGGTTGGGGTAGCCGACGAAGGCGAATCCGGGGTAGATGAAGAAGGGCTTGGCGGTGGCCATCAGATCGGGGCCGTCGATGGAGACGATCTCACCATCTGTATTCTGAATTAGCATTCTTTGATTTCTATTATATGTAAATAGAGTACGTACCTTGGTAGACCTTGGCGGCGTTACGGAGGGCAAGAAGCACACCGCGGCTGAGCTAGTTAGTCATTTGTTCAAGCGAAAACTCAGCGATGGACGTTTGCTAACCTAGACCACGAGAACTTGAAAAGCCATTTGTCAGTTATTTATCAAATTGGTAACAATTGTACTTTCACTGACCTTGTATCCCAGGGGGTTGTTGGAGCATTCGGGAGCGGGCAAACTGTTGTCTGTTAGCTGTACTCCCTGTATAATATGAGAATGATCGAACGAACCCTCCACAGTAGGAAACAAATCCGGTAACCTTGCCACCGGCAGCGTGGACCTCGTGAATGGTCTTGACAGCATCTATTTCGTATGAGCATCTGTTTGTTTATATCCATGGCATAGACACTTACAAAGGTGATCAAGACCAGGGTCGAGACCGATCTCGTTCATGACTGTGATACCAGCCTCGCGGCACTGCTCATCCAACTCCAACATAGCAGGGGAAACGTAGGATGTGGTGACCACGTTAGTCTGCCGTAGTGAATTAGTCAAGTGTCCGCCTCCTCTATAGAAAGAACAGTTACCTTAGTGCGAATAGCAGACTTGATAACGGTGGCGTGGAAAGTGTATGGGATAAGCGAGATGACAACATCGGCCTGGCTCAGGGCAGCGTCGAGGGCGGCATCATCGTTGACATCAAGGGAGATGGCCTTGGCGTTCTTGAAGCCAGAGGCAAGGGCCTGGGCGCTCTCGAGAGTACGGCAGGCTATTATAGCATTGTCAGCTATATTCAATGCGATGTGGGTCTGTATAGATTCAATTGAACATACCGACAGTGACCTCGACATCGGCCTTGCTGAGGACGTCAACAGTGGGCTTGGTGACTATTAGAAATCAGAAATTAGCATAAATGTATGACTCTAGAAGCTTGATGCGGGGCAGTATGACGCATTTAGGTCTGGGATCTTTAGAGAGACGGGAGGGAGGCGTACCGAAGCCCGAACCCAAAAGGAGGGCCTTGGAACCGGCAATTTGCTTGACCATTTTGATTTCAATTGGTATGATAGATGATGTTGGGGGTTGTTCAACTGGAGCACATCCGGCAGTCCTCCTCTGTGGGACCGGTATACGGATGATGACTCAACGTCACGTGAACCGGTATCGGCGCGGGGTGAATTTCAAAAGAATGCTTTTCACCGCCTGCTGTTTGTGGCTAACTGTTTTCAATTGGAAGGGAAACAGGTGTCGAAAAAGACATCCTTGTAGTTATCTATAGTAATGGAGAGTGAGAGAGATGGAGATGAAACATAATCCATGATCTCTATGGGAAGGCAAAAGGTTGGAGAAGCAAAACGGGCACCTATTATTCTTGTACATCAAATGTGGACAGCGATGGATGGATCTGGCGTATAGGAGGTAGCGGATTAGGAAGTAGATGATATTTTATTTACCGAGGACCGATTTAGTGTACGGCGATGCATAGATATATGCTGATATCAAGTCAGGCGTACCCAACAGAAACTCCGCAAAAAGCAAGACGCCAGTGATGCTGAAGCAGAACAAAAACGAGTAGACACAGGGTATATAACAGACAATTCACTAGATGTCTTTGACCTTTCCGCCTTGACGCCACAGCATCGCGTCTGGGCCTTCCTCGCTCGATTTTGCGTCACCGGCAAAGTTCCCCTCTGCATTGGGATCCTGTCGAGACTTGGAAATTCGTCTCTGCCATCCGAGCATCACAGGTAGGAAGTGCCACAAGTCGAATTCTGGCCACATGACATTGAGAAACACGATCTCCGTGTTCTCGTGGGTCTGCCAGAGCATAAAGTCGCTCAGGCGTTCGACGCCTGAAGTGCGAATCAGGATATCCAGGGGGGGAGTTCCCTTGGTCAACATGTGATCATTTAGAGTCTGACGAGAGATGGTTTCGGGGGAGATATAAACTGGGCTATCTGCCTCAGTCGCAGATCTCGGTGGCGAGCCGCCCTTGGGGTCTTGCTGGTTTCCGAGGTGGAGGGTTGTGGAAGACGAGCAGGAAGACATCGATCCGTAGACTCGGTCGGAGTAGTCCTGCCGAGGCAATGCGTCGTCATCCTGGCCCGAAGAGCCCGACGTAGACTCAGAGTCACTGTGTGATTCATGTGTTGTCGAGCCGAGCGTCTGAGCGCGGATATTATGTGCGATATGGGATTCCGAGAAGCGGGAAGCGGCAGCCGCGGAGCGACCCTGCTGAATGGGCGTGGTATAATCCTCGACCGTGTCGCGGATGGCGGAGGTGATCTCGTCGCGGGAGGTATAGGGGAAGCAGATATTTAGGACGCGGTCTCCATTGCGGCTAGTCATGTCGACGGCTTTGTTGACAGCCTCCAAAACGTCGGGTTTGAGCATATCAAGTCGGCCCAGGACGCGAACCTTTGCTCCGTATCGATCGAGCAGGTCTCCGTGTTGAGCCATCTGCGAAAGCTTCACCTTGGCCATTTCCATGAGCGCATCCACCTCGAATTTTGAGCGTTTGAAGTTCTCGATGCTGAATGCGTAGATGGTAACTACCTTCACTCCGCTCTTGTAACAGACTTCGAGGATCTATCGGTCGTTAGTATCCGGCCACAGTACGGGTGCTGCCGTGTAACGCCGAGCTGCCAAAATGGTGGCACTCACTCTTGCCAGAGCTTCAAACCCCAGATTATGTCCCTCCACTGTTTCAATTCCATGTGACCGGGCAAAGCGCCTGTTTCCATCCATAACAAAGGCCACATGTTGGGGGACAGGACCCTGTTGGAGTGCGCCGATCAGCAGTTCCTTGAGGCTCGTAATGGCGTACTCGGCAGGCGGAGAGGAGAGGAACCAGTTCCGGAGACGCGACATATGCAATGAACTCGGCATGATGAATATGTGGAAAGATATAATGCGCCTAAACTCCGCAGAAAAATCGAGGAGTTGGGGTAAAAGACTGGATACGGGGTAGAAGATAAAAGGTGCACGGGTTAGCGGCTGGCCGGATTCGGCTTCGTACTACAAAAACGCGACGTGGTCAGTTATGACAGTCTTCTGCTATGGGCAATTTTTAGAATAATATTGAGGCGATGCAATTAGAGTACCTAGGCTACACCATTTTCATGTGCAATTTTAGCTTCTAAGGGGGCCTTGTTTTTTGCCCCCTGCTTTCAACGTAAGCCCTGTGCAAGTGGCGAGGGCAAAAAATGAATCGGCCAAGATCAGCTTACGATACCTCGGAAAGCCGTGGTACTTTCGCTGTAGCCTCACGATATAGAATAACTCACGCAGTCAAACCCGCGATAAACCATATCGCAAGGAACCGTGTATCTTATGATATAGCTCACCTCAAGGATTGTGGCTAACCCAGGACTATTATATTCCTATCCCGAAGAGACACGCACGTGATCGTAGGATAAAGCGAGAGGATCAGCCGCAGGATGTGCTTAGTTAAGCATCGTCCTTCGTAGTTAACTATAGATCTACTCAGCGCTAGCATCGTACCCTTGAAAGGACTTAGCCCGAATAAGGCCTGTTGGAATCGGTAGTCGAGAGGCAGATCGTTGCCGTTGGAAACCCTGAGGAGTATAAGGTGGTCGTGTGTTTATCGTTGGCAGTTCGCATGAAATTGAAGGTAATATTACAAATCTCGTATGGGACCTAGTTCATGGAAGCTCCAATATGGGGGATGAGATGCCAGCGAACCGATGATATTTGGCAATGGCTTTAACCCCAGGGATCGTTCCTCCACGTGGCACATATCTCGGTAGTGGCATAGTCCCTCTCTGAGGAGTACCTCACGCTACCGATGCGCTCGCCTCGCTTCCTCGGTGTCTACATACGGGAAGAATATTGCCTCATTAACCATCAGACTCTATACCGTTTGTGGGTTTATTTGTGATTCTAGGTAGATTCGGTCCTATTGCGATAGCATAGGTCACTCATCAAGCGAGATCTGGGAGTATGACCTGGTCACCATTGCCACTTCTGGCGCGGTGCCTTCTGTAATTCCACCTCGATGCGAAACAACGCCTTGTACTCGCCTTCCCCGATCCCAGCTGGCACTCGAATTTGACAAACCCATAGCAGATACGAGGGGTGGGGCCCACGAAGACGTCCGAGGGGGGGAATCGTAGCCCGTGGACCTCGTGCGCCTTTCGTGGGCCGCCTCGATCAAGTCCACTATATCATCCCAACCACACTCCTCAGCCAACTTCAACGGAGTGTACCCATATTCCCCACTCGCATCAGGATCCAGGCCAGCATCGCTTAGCAACAACTCAACCACCTCTCGTCGTCCTGCCTCAACGGCGATGAGCAGTGGAGTGCGGCCCTCTTTGTCTACTCCTCCCGGGGAAGCACCCGCGGTGAGGAGGGCTTCTGCAACTTGCACATGGCCATTCTCCACGGAACACATGAGCGGCGTCATCCCATCCTTGCTCTCAGAGTTCATGTCAGCACCTTCCTCTAGAAGCATCTCTACGGCTGTCAGCCCCCCGCTTTCCGCCGCACGGGAAAGAGGGGTTTGGCCATTACTATCCCTACACTCAAGGTCAACCTTCCTTGTTGCGAGGAGTTGGTTCACGATAGTCGGGTAACCACCCCAGGCAGCCCATAATAACGGGGTGCGCCCTTCGTCATCCGGTGCATTGGTGTCCACCCTGTACACGGCAAGCAGACGTTCAACCACGGCGGCATGACCGCGTCCAGACGCCCATGAAAGAGGGGTTCGGCCAGTTTCGTTTCTGTGGTTGCAATCTGCCCTTCCATCAAGAACGAGTACTTCGATGACGTCCGCCCACCCTTCTCGCGCAGCAAGAGATAAGGGAGTTGCTCCTTTGGCATTGATGGAGTTTGGATCGACCCCTGGGGTGGCAAGTAGAAGCTGGACCACAGAGTCGCGTCCGTATTGGGCTGCTACTGCGAGTGGTGTGTTGCCGCTGTCTCGCTCACGTAGGTCTGGGTCAACTGTAGAAGTCTGAAGTAGTCGTTTTACCACCTCCTCGCCACCGTTATGTGCTGCAAGAGACAAGGGCGTTCGACCGGAAGAGTTCATAGAGTTAGCATCAACTCGGGGAACTTCCAATAGGAGTTCGACTACGGATATGCGTCTCCAAAATGCGGCGAGCGAGAGAGGGGTCCATCCCTCCTTATCCTTGTGGTCAGGGTTTACACGACTATCGGCAAGAAGAAGGCGCGCGGTATTTTCATGTCCTTGCCAGGCAGCGACTGATAGTGGGGTCTGACCCCGGGCATTTTCGGCGTTCGGATTGACTTTTTGATGACCGAGCAAGAGGGACACCACCCCTTCATGGCCATATTGCGCGGCAGAAAGCAGTGGCGTGCGCCCATCTTCATCTCGATAATCCGCATCAGCGCCATGTTGCAGGAGGGCTTCCACCACGGCGGCATAACCATTCGATGCTGCGCGAGAGAGCGCTCTATTTCCAGTACGAAGAACCAGGGGAGCACTGTGACTTAGCAACAGCTCCACGGACCCAGCATGTCCGTACCCTGCTGCTGATACGAGTGGAGTTTCCCCGTGGCCATTCTCGCAATCAATATCAACTTGGTGAAGTAGAAATGCCTTGATTACCGTTTCATCCCCGTTACTCGCAGCTGCGCATAGTGGTGTCTGTTTTGCATGATCCATGTGGTTGAACTCCACTCCACGGCCCATGAGCAAGTCCACAATCTTCCCGTGTCCATTATCTGCAGCCAGAAATAAGGGCGTTTGGCCCTCGTCATCCTGCCAGTCTGCATCAACCAGGTTATTCTCAAGCAATGCCACCACGACAGCAGCATGTCCACGCGCAGAGGCCCAAAGCAGAGGCGTTCGGCCAGAACTATCCTTCACATCCGGTGGGAACTTGCGAAGCAAAAGCCTCGCCGTCTTCTCGAGCCCGAAGTAGGCCGCAATATGAAGTCCGTTCATTCCGCGCGGACTGCGCTCACTACGTCCTTGACTCCGTTCAGCAAACATGGCCTGAGCCGCGCTAGATACGCGCTTCTCATGCTCCAGAAGTTTTAGCACCAAGGAAGTCTCCTCAAACAATGCGGCCTGTACGTGGTAGCCCCAATTCCGCGACGCATAATCATACAATGCATATTGGTCCAGGCGAGCCTTGAACTCGGTGCCTGTCGCGCAGGCTCCACTATCGAAGGAAGTGAATGTCAAATACCTAAGAGTAGCTTCGGCAATCCTTTCGTGTGCATCGTGAAACCATTCCTGCCATGTCCGTTCGAAATACTGCTGTGTTGTGTAGTGAACCAAGCGGATTGTCGCCCGTTCCCCGTCCACAATGACCAATCCTTTACATACACTGACAAGTAGCCCGATGTCCGGGATGCTCAATCTATCAAACTCTGTGTGTCTTTCTTTCACTGCTAGTGCATGCTGGAGCTCAGTCGCGAGTAGTAGTCTCCGACTACAGCAAATCCAGGACAGGACTTTTAAAGCGAGTTCGCGCAAGCCTTGCCGTTGGCCGTGAATGTTGTTCATCGCTTCCAGGTACGATTTATCGTATCCGTCGAAGCCTCTGGGTAGGGTCTTGAGCGTGTCCTTTATGTCTCTTATGGATATTTTATCCAGCAATGAGGTCAAGTGGAGCTTCGCTAGCAGAAACCTATTTACTCTCGTTAGCCTTCCAGACATCACGAGAGGGCTATTCATGGCCCACCTTACATTCCGTCAATAGCCTCAATAATGCCTGTCTTGATTTCATCTTCCAGCCCTGGGGTCTCGGATACAAAGGCGGGTAACTCCCCAATATGTGAGCCTAAGTACTGCACAACATCCTCTTCTGTCGCCCTGATATCGATCAGTATACTTTCTTTGAACTCGCCTGTAATCTCCGGGACGAAACGAGAGGTGGCGAATATGTTAATCCCGGTTTTTTTTTGAAGAGCAAAGAGTTCTCTAACTAGCTGCTTCGGGGGACTTTCAGAAGTGAGCACCTCGTCGAGAGCGTCAATCACGATGAAGGTCCTTTCAAACCGGGCGATTGTATCTTGTAGAACATCCACTATTTCACGAAAACTCGGCCGGCTGCCAGTTCGTTGGTGGCGATCGTACATACTCTTCACCATCTCAGGCGTGTATGATAGCTGTCGGACTAGCTGCCTCAATAGGCTCAGAAAGATACAGCTGTGGGTTTGCTCGGCTTCATTCTGAACGCTACAGTATATGCATGCAATCCCCACCGCAGGATTCACCTCAAACCGTGATCGAAGACGGTCCACTACCACTGCGGTCATAACCGTCTTTCCAGCACCGGGCATGCCTCTGCAGTAGATGGTTTTGTTACGTTCAGCCACCCATGTTTCGAAGCCAGAGGTCTCCATGAGCCATGTCCCAGTTCCCTCTTGACGTTGGCGTAGGATATCAGTTTGTTCAGAGCCGTAGTCCTTTGGGGACAGCCATACAAGCAGCTCGTGTTCCTGGGCGGTACTTATTGATGAGTTGATTATGGATACACCCGTCTGGATATTCGATAACACATCCAGTACTGTTACCATAGTCAGTCGGCACCTTGTTCATTGCCTATACTAAACTAGGGGAGACTCTAAAGTAGCTAACCTTCTTTCATTTCCACAGCCTTCGCCGCACGAATCTCCTGCGGAAGGATCACGCGAAGCAGATCTTTGGCATATGCAGCAGCCGTCACCGCCGCATAGGGCTGCCAGGTATCATTTTTGTGCGAGTCCGAGTAGTCGCTGATACCCCGGATCACCAAGCACGGGAAGTTATCCATTAGCCCTGCAGCCTCCATCTCGAAACATGCCACATTCCAAGTCTTACGCAGTTCATCCCGATACCGAGGATCCCTCATGACTGTATTCCCCGACGCGATCAACCCATAGTGCACCACGGGTGCATCAGATTTCCTGGGTGCGCGGGTCTCCGTTAAATTAGTGTTGCAGCGCGTACAGTCTTCTTCTCCGCCCTCGTGGTCATAATCCACTCGATATAGACGGTCATTATCCCTGCCCGGGTGTTGATAGGCTTCGAAGAGTTCTAATGTCTCCGACAGCTGGCCGATACGGGCGATGTAGCGATTCATCTCTCCCCTACCGAAGGGATGATCTGACCGTAAGAGTTTCATCGCAGTCAGCAGAAACATCGGCGGTTTGTTCAGATGGGACTTCTTGTGAAGCCTTCCATCTGCTCCCCGCTGCCCCAAATCATAGTGCACCACTCCGCCTGATAGAGTCAGTCATCTATTATTTTATTTATTTCAGAATGAAATCATTTCCGCGGGAAAAAAAAAGAAAACACAAGATACCAGCTCACCTTGATCACCCTTCGGCTCGCTAACAACCACATCCCCCAATCGCATATCCTCACCAGGCCTTCCAAACCGTGCCGGGTTCGGCGCCGCACCCCCAATCCCCACCATCAACCCGAACCGCAAATTCCGAAACGTGCGAATCATATTCGTGGCTGTTTGTGCCGCTGCGCCGACCCCGTATACTGCTGGGAATGCAATAATCACGTTATGCTCCCCCATTTTTCCAAGGAGGTAAGCGTTATCATCCTTCTCGGCGGCCGGGAGCCTCTCGTGTTCCTCGTCCAGCAACGCCCGGGAGGCGTTCAGCTCACATTCTAGCACGCATACCCATCCGACGGTATAGTCATCGTGAGTGAGTTTTATTTGGCCCATGGGGACGGAAGGGTCCTCAACAGGACCTGGGAGCTCTGTTTTCTCTGGGATTTCACTTGCGGGGAACTTGTGGAGGGGTCAAGGTCGCAGTTGGCTAATGCGAGGGAAGCGTCAGCCTCCATTTTGGGAGTAGTCTAGTGGTTAGGTCAGATAGCCAAGAGGAGCCAAGAGGAGACAAATTTATTAGGGGTAAATTCAAATAAGAATGCTCCTCATTCGAATTCAAAAACATTTGGCGTAATCATTTGTATTCGAAATGCAGATATTCGTGATTTCATTCAGAGTCAGGAGTTGGTGAATCATGGGTCTGATGTTCTGCAGCATCGCGATCATCTGTAGTCTTCTCATTTACATGGCCCGTGGGCAATGCCCACCAGCCCGTCCATGGGCAATGTCGCAGTCTAGTCGTATTTAACCTATAAAAACATTAGAAAAGGCCTATAAACTTATAGAGGACTTACCTTTTACACTAACTTGATACGATCCGCCGATTCTCTCGCGATCTCGCTTGATAGTATAACGAATTCTCCACCCTTTGACCGCCCACTGCTTAACAAGCTGGAAGCTCCAAGCTTTCAACGAATTCATAGAGGTGGCTTTCACTCAATTGATTGCCAATATCACAGGTGGAGTACCTAGATATAAGCTATCGCACTATAATATGGATTATATTCTCAACTCCCTTCGGGTGATCTAAGCGGTTAGTCTTTCTATTTTCTTTGACACTCTATCATATGGTCACGAGCCCGATCTAATAAGTGTCAAACAGCAAGAAGAAATATATGCATACAATGCCAACGATGCCGTAAGACACTACCAACGGCTCGCATATCTTTCCCTACACTTATGTCTTTCCTATATCGACATTCCTCTCAGCCATTGCCTTTGCGCAGACCTTCACAGATATATATATTGGCCTATTGACCAACATTCAGCAGCGTACGGCTCGAAGCTTGGGATCCGATTCAGACTCGATCGTCTACGTTCTGGGTCAGGCACTCGGCCAAGAAGGCCAACAGTCTGGATGGTATCGCTTCATCCAGGGCAAGCACCCGAGCGCGGAACCTTTCTTAACGTTTTAACCCCAATTCGGGGTAACGGCAGTGTGGTTCTTGAAGTCTCCGGTCCTATGAATTCTCAAACGCAAAGGGTGGTCTTCGTAAACGGCGCTTTAGTACCATTTGTGGTGCCTTCCCAACTCATCGGTCAAATCTTTCATGGGGAAACCGTGTTGAGCGAAATTGTTGTCGATTTTCCTTTTTCACATAATGTGATGCATGGAATGACTTTGGCAACTGTTGTAGATGGTGGAACGGAGTTTATAACAGCTGACGATGTTACAAGTGCAACTATATATGGACCAGCTGTTATTGAGATAGCATAGCGCTGGTAAGCATGCATTGAAAAGAGAATAGTAGATGCTGAACATTTCATGCCAGCTCAAACTATGCGGAATCAATTTCAATCGAACGTTAGATCAAATATCTTTCATATATTACACCTTCAAGCCTAGATATAATCTCTACCGAGTAAGTTCTTTCCTTCTAATTCCTTTCGTTTAAGTTAATATATCTTAACCGAGTTAGTTTTCTAATATTAGCCCTGTATTCTAGCTTTTATATAATACTGACAGAAAGCTGGTGTACATGTAATAGTAAAAGTCCTGTGTTTAATTGACTATATATGTACTTTCCTTATGGTTCAATGCTGTACACAATTCTCACTTATTACTTACGCTTACTATCAGATTTCTTCATACATGATTAGTTGGCCGCCAGATGGATTTTGATGACATTCATAATTATAGAAAAAAAAAAAAAAAAAACCAAAACAAAACAAAACAAAACACAGGATATCTTGAGTGGTTATATAAGAGCAAATACGTACACAGCTTTGCGCCGAACACCGTGGTTGATGGTCGGGATGATAAATGATTAAATGATCAATGCAGTGCACATCTCAAAGATCTTTTCGGGACTCCTCAGTGCTGGATGGAGTTCCCGGACCTGAGCTGGCCATATCCCAGCTTCCATCTTCGCTTCGACGCCGACGACGCTCTCCGCGCTCTCTCATGGCATCACGGATCCGTGAACTAACGTCCTCAAGAGGGTCTTTCTGGGTGAGAGGGCTGAGCGGCATGAGTCCGTGCCGAGACCCAGGTCGGCCGCTAGCAGATCTGCTGCGGCTACGATCACGACTAGGAGGCCGTGTGGAGAAGAAGCCAATGTTGGCGAGGTTGTGGAAGGACTCGTTGCGGGGGAGGGGCTCTGACGAGGGCATTTTCTCGGTATGGTCTGACACGCTGGTTCTTTTGATCTCCGGCAACTCGTTTTCGGCCTTGGTATCGATATTGCTCGCTTCCCGGAATGGATCGGTGACAACCCGAGCGGCATCGAAGTCGGGGAATAGCTCGGGTCCCATGGTATTGATCGCATCCGTCACTTGGTGAGCCAGTGCAGCGCGTCGCTCTCGAAGCTTCACCAGTGTGTTGGCCGATGATGGATTCAGAGACAGAACAAGCGGGCGAAGGGATTTGATAATATCCATGCCCACTTCACCGATCCGAAGAGCAGCAAAGGTGATTGTGGGGAAGAGTACCATGCCGATCATCACTACCGACCACAGTGGCACCCAGTCTGGAACCATTCCATTAACTCGGTTCCAGTACGTCCAGTAAGTGAGGGAAGCAGTATAAAAGGCATAGAGTGCCGGAGCAAATGCAAGGGCGATAAGAAGCTTCCATGTGGCCATAACATCTCGGCCTTGAAGTTTCACAGTAGAAGCAGCCAGTGCTTCCTTGGACTTCTTTGCGGAGAGGTACTTTGTTGCGATGAAAACGGGGGTAAAGAGCAGGAAACCTGGGAGCGTCCCGATTGCCAACAGTGCTAATTTGCCTAGGCGGTAAATCAACGTAGCCACCACCTGCAAGATGGAGAATTTGGCGTAGATCACTTGGTGGTCCCGGATTCCAAGAAGACGAAGCTGTTTGTTATATCCTACAATAGACTTGCGTAGCTCGACGATCCGGGGATCGTCTTTGAAATGAGCGTAACCTTTCACAAGACGGCGGTTCAGCTCTACAACCATAGGGAGAGGAAGATTTTTGCCTTTGGTGTTGTACAGACGACGGGCAGCTTGAATGACCTTTGAATTGTTAGCGGAAGCAAATTTCCCGAAATAGAAAGAAACTTACCATAAGAGTTTCATAATCGGGACTAGTGACGGTGACCGAGACAAGACTTCCGTAGATGATTTCCAGCAGAGCACCGACAGATTCCCGTCGTTCACCTTGCTTGAACTGCTCCACCAATTCCGAGGGAATGTCAATTGGAGTGCCAAACTCAATAACGGCCCTGGAACGGAACTTGTGGGCATGGAAATAATTCATGCCACAAGGCACGATCTTCAAACCACAGTCCGGGTTTTCAGCCAGGGTACCTAGAGCCATCAGGGCGACACCAGCTGTATCATGTCAGTAAATCTTTCCGGTCTTTTGGACACAAAGTGCTTAAGCTTACCTTTCAGGGGAAGTAGTGTAGTACGATCATGGCTTCCACCTTCCGGGAAGATACCGACACAGCCGCCTGTGCCTAGTCTTTTGAATACTGCCTGATAGACTGCGGTCTGATCCACATGCGGAGCAACCTTGAATTTGGTGCCCTTGAAATCTGGATCCTGCTCGGATGCATCTCCAGTGAAATTTCCATCACGGTCAATGTCTTTCCGCCCAGTAAGCTGGGTCAGCGCATCCCTGTGCTTGAAAGCCTTCTTGAGCACCAATTCCTCCGGTCCCTTGATCTCGGCGATCGCGGTACTGTGTGACGTTCCGTTGATGGTGGGCAGGGCAATAGTTCCGTCCTTTTCGAAGCCCTTTCCTTCAAAGTTGGTTCCAACACCTCGCAGCAGAGTTGGCTCGTTGATCGGGTCGGGAAGATAGATGGTGCCGGTCCCGGGTTTCAAGTTGTCCATAGCACGTGCCACGGGCAGTGTCCCAACTGCTCTCGCCAGAAATCCGATGAACTTGCGTTTGAACGACTTGTCCGCAATAAGCCATGAGATCCGACGTTGCGCTTCGCTGCGAATGACGCGCATCAACACCAAAGAATCCACGAACTGAGCGAACATCCATCATTAGCATCTTGTGTGGTATGTCGTGGCCGGAAGCGAGCGGCATACCTGGTTCGCATGGGGAGCTGCCACCAGAATGATGGGGCCGCGACGGGGGATTTTCCATGAGCCTCGGGGATGGACTTCGCGGAAGAAGAGGTCAATGAGCACGGAGAATGTCCAAAGGACCAAATCATACATCCACCCAACGAGGGGTGGGATGTACTGGCCTTTGTCTCCCATTGTGCTGTAGAAGCCCGATGGGCAGTTTCCGGGGGAAAATAAAGCTGGAGGGGCGTGAGAGGGTCGTCAAAGGGTTATGATTGTGTCGACATGGAAGTCCCTAGAGAAAAGATAAACGTTAGTACGGATAGCCGGAATAGCTTGGGATCCACCCACTTGGCTGTTTCGAGCCTCAAAACACCATGGACTATTCAATATATTTGATAGGCAGGATATCAGAACATGAAAGCAAGAAAGAAAACATGAGAAGAGGGGAAGAGTTGAAGTTCGAATCTGGAAGGTTTGAGAGCCTTAGCGCGCTTTGACTCGGACGCTTCTAGAACGTGACATGTTAGACACATTATAAGGACTTACGGTTGAAATTAGACTTGGAAAAGAAGTATTCTCCTGTTCTTTCTGTGTGCATGTAACTGTTACATGCTACATAACATAAGTTAATAAGTTAAAAATATGATCAGTCACAAGAAAAGCGCTGAACCTCTTATAACCCCCTCCAGCTGAGCACAGGCCATATCATTGCGACATGACAAAATGGGATCCCAGTATGAGGTCAACTTTTCAACTTTCCAACTTTCCAATCAAACACTCCCAACACACATATGCAGAGTGGCTGTTGGGATTCGGTGATCAAAGCGTCATGCGGCTATTCCAAGTTTTTCATGGGATCGGCCAGGAAGCTATAGCCGCATGGGAGTGCGTAAAGCAATAAGCTTAACGCGGTGGAGACAATGTGTTTTATATACATACCTAAGTAAAATGGTTGATATAGTTAACTACATAATATACTGGAAATAAGACCAAAATAATCTATAGATATAATAATAATAAAAAAAAAAGCGATCAGTTTTCCACGTATAACGTAGAAGTTCCCCCTGCAGGTTTGTCTCCCCGCCTGCCCCGCCTTTCCACTTCGACTTCCTTCGATTTGATATCGCAAATCTACACTTCACTCGAGACCCTCTGAATAGTCACTTTTTGATCTTGTCTTTGGGGAAATCTACAGGCCTTGTTTTGGTCCCTCCCCACGCCCGTCTACACCCAATATCCACACACCACCACCTTTCATCTTCCAACTTCCCAGCTTGACAACTTGATCACCATTCTCCTGCTGGAGGTTGGGCTGATATAAAACAGTATCACATGCGCCTGGAATGATCTCGCATCATGTCTCTCAAGTATGCCTCTGTTCACATACCTGTTTCTTCCCGGAGCCAGCCAGGACCAGACCCATATAACTTTGAAGCATCTATACTGACTGCCTAGTTGGGTAATGCTTGATGACCAGGACGGCTTCGTCCGTCTTCCCAACGAACGTTTGATCTACTCCTCCCCACCTCGTACTAGTGTCTCTTTGACTCCACCGTCCGGATACAAAGGCGTAGAAAAGCTTTCGATCCAAAGCAGTGCCGGCTGCATCCACCTTACCAACCAACGAGTCAGTATTCATGTATATCCTTGTCTCCTCATCACTTTAACCCTCGCTAGGTTGTCTACCTTCCCGCCTCCAGAAGCAATGCCTTCCAGTCCTTCTCGTCACCTCTCTTGAATGTCCGTGACTCCCATGTATCAGCACCATTCTTTGGACCAAATGTATGGACAGCTCTAGTCCAACCAGTATCCGGAGGTGGCATTTCACCGTCCCTCCCTGCCGTTCAGTTGAAAGTGACATTCAAGGAGGGTGGAGCCTTTGACTTCCACACCAACTTCGAGCGGATCAAGGAACGCCTCGAGCAAGCTGTTGAGAACACAAGCGAGGGCACCCGAGGACAGCAAAATGTGGATCTTTCAGCAGTTCATTTGGAGGAGTTGCCTGCATATGAAGCTCCGCCTAATGCTAGCCAAAGTGCTAGACCCAGCCAGACACCAGAAGAATCGCAAAGCAGTCGAGTATCTGACACCGGTACCGAACCCGTGGAGCCACCTCCATGTTACGAGGAGGTCCAGTCGCAAAGTGTTGCCCAGGAGCTGGAAGAGAGGCTGCGACGGGCCACCTAATCTTTCGGGAGTCTATTTCAACATGCCATTCTATCACATATTTGAACTGGCCTCATTTTTATTCTCATCTCATGTACATTATGTCCCCATCAATTAGCAATTAGCGATACGAAAGCGGTGGTTACGCACTTAGACATGGAGACAGGAAGAGTTGATATGCTCGCCAACATTGATTCCCAGCAGACAATAATAGAATTTTCCCGTATTTCCGAGATCCCTAGATCAAGCAGAAATAACTCCAGTATTAAATTCCTCATAAACTGCAATCGTCAAGTCTTGGATGGGATTGGAGCCCATTGGCCAATCACGTGCGGCATAATTGGCGTCTCTCAGCGGCCGGGCCTTTCCGATTTTCCAGTCCGAAAGGAGCAGCTCTTGGGCAAAACCAACAACCTCCCTCAATTACAACCCCCTTCCGCTTTCCCACCCCCCACACAAGACCTCCGGTCATCATTCAATTGATCTCTGTCGCAATGGGTCTCTCCGACTTTTTCTCTGACGTCGTCTCCTCCTTCGGTTTCACCGAGGCCCAGGCTGAGGCTCCTGCTCAAGACACCGAGACCGAGACCACCACCCAGGAAGAGCCCGCCGAGAAGGAGGAGTCCGCCTCCACCGAAACCACCGAGACCGAGTCCGCTGAGGAAACCCCCGAGGAGACCCCCGCTGAGGAGGAGTCTTCCGAGGAGGCTCCCGAGGAAGAGGAGGCTGAGGCCGAGGAGGAGGAAGAGGAAGAGGAGGAGGAAGAGGAGCCTGAGGACCTCAAGCCCAAGCTCGAGGAGGGTGAGTGACCTTGTTGTTTTTTTTCTGACTTTTGCTTTTTTGTTCGCGTTACATTGTCGCCTATGTCATGCGATCGTTGGACGCGAGTTGTTCGCACCAATTGGCCTTATATGTCAAGATCCGCGCCTGGGTTATAAAACCGTCAATGGCATTGCAAAGACATATTTCACCGGCTTTCTCGATCGGAGACTAACTACTACTCTCAGAGTGCGCCCACTCCGCCGTCTGCGCTCCTTACAAGCACCACTATGACGAGTGCGTTGAGCGCGTCACCCGCCAGGAGGAGGATGAGGATTACAAGGGCCCCAAGGAGGACTGCGTCGAGGAGTGTAAGTGCGATTGCTATTAACGATGGGGCTAGAAAAAACCATGGAATTCCCTCCCATTGAGTCCTGATTGTGCGACTAACATAACCCCCAGTCTTCCACCTCACTCACTGCGTGACCGCCTGCGCTGCCCCCAAGCTCTGGAGGGAGCTGAAGTAAACGACTCTTCCATTGAGTCTTGATTTCGGCGTTCCATCCAACCCTCGCATCGACCTGGCCCACGAATAATCTTCGCTCTCCACCGCATCGATACGGGGCACCCCTTGGACCGAAACGCCGGAAGAAAAACCAATCCCGCTTTTATGATGGCTGCTAAGGCGGACTGATAGCCTGGTAGCTTGCCGCCTTGGATTGAGAACGCAGGATCGATGCAGAGACATGAAACCTTGTTTTCTGGTCGTTCTTTGCGTATTTGTGCGCATATGTATTGTGTTTTCAAGGCAGGGAGGAGGGCTCAGAGGAAGCAACAAAGAATAATAGATCATTTGCCCTCCTCTTTCAAGCCTTGTGTGTACAGATAGCTGGTCTTCCGCCTGTTCGAACTGTGCTTTTGTTTATTCTCTTGTTTTAAAACAAATCTCATCTGTCTAGATTGACATTGTGCCGTGGTAGGCTAAGCTTCTAGCTATCATCCCACTACAGGATGCATATAAGTCGGTTCGGTATAGTCATGGCCAGATTGTTGATCCAAAAGTATGCTCAATTTGCCAACTTAGACTCATATATAGATCCGAATCGCGTCAAGTCCCTGTGGGTGGTCATAAATTCAAAAGATATTAGGGTAACATAAACGGGGTATGACCCGTCCTGATCAGGACAACAGAAATAAAGTCTCGTCAAGAGCACCATGTGCATGGTGCATCAACAAATAAAAAAGAGCCAACCGTCACGGCTCTTCCAAACCGTCGAGAAGGATAAGTCGCACATCCCAAAAGAACCTTGATAGTGACACAGTCCTCAAGTCTTGATCAAAGTATCAGTATCCACAGCAGATTCATCAGACCGAACTCTCTTAACATTATCATCCGTGCGAGCCACCTCCCCAACCTCCTGCAACTCAGCCCCACGGTCAACCTCCCACCTACGATGATGAACATCCCTCCCAAAAAGTCCAATCGTCAACGGAAAGGGCGCAGCCACAACAGCAACAACAGCCGCAAACACCAACGCATTCCGCATATTATACGGCGGTACAGCCCCAGCCCCAGCCTTCAACGCATCCTGAATAAGGATAAAACAAGCACCAAGCAACTGCCCACCCGTCCAGCAGATGGTACTCCCAATCTCCGATGAGAGCGGATAAGTAATCTCAGCCAGGTACTCTAGCGCAATGGGCAGCAAGGCAAACGACGCCGCGCCCAGCAGCGCCATAACCACATACGAAGGCGGGATTCCCGCCGCACTGCCCGGCGCGAAAATAAGTCCGATATACGTGACGGCCACTATAAACACCAACACCCGGATACTGCCCAGATAGTGCTTGTACCGGTCTGTTATCGGTGACATAATCGCCGACGTGACGAGTCCCACCACGATCAGGATGGCGCCTGCTATACCTGCTTCTGTCTCGGAGAACCCGTGAGGACTGAGGATTTGATTTAGCAGCGAGGATACGCTGTTGAAGAAGCCCACGTATACGGAGAATGGGATGAAGATCTGCCAGAATTCTCGCGTGTTAGTTAGTTCGCGCACTGCGGCGCCCAGTGGTGTGTGTGGCTTTGCGGAGGATGCGCTTGCAGGTGTTGGTGGTGAGGCTGGGAGGAAGAAGGATGGAAGTGCTGCGACGGTGGACTGTTGGTTTTACGTGTGTGAGCGAAAGGTAGAGAAAGGACCAATGGGTGGGTTGGGATATTTTGGGGTTGGGTTTCACGTACGATGATCGAGATGTACAGGACCATATTTGGGATATCGGAGGGTTTCGATGCCCACTCCGAGTCGATTAGCTGACCCAGGGCTGCGCCGAGTGGGTTGGCTAGACTGGCGACTGCTGTTGCGCTCGTGCGCCCTTTATCAGAGAACCAGAGCTCGCTGTATCGGGTTGGTGCGCAGAGGCAGAAGGGTTGCGCGAATCCTATGAGGATCTGGCCGAACATTGCGAGCCCGAAGATGCCGCCGTTTGCTCTTGTGCCGGCATATCTGAGCCAATTACCGACTAGTAGGAGTGTGGCGGTGGTGATTATAGCTGGTTTGGGGCCGCCTTTGTTTAAAATCCAGATAACGATGCTGGGAATCTGGTTAGTGAATGGGATACTTGGAGCGGGGGGTTTTTTTTTCCCTTATCTTTTTTTTTGGTTTTCAAAACAGCAATTTATGCATACTTACGGGCTAACAGCACAGAAGGCGAAGAGATAGCCGGTGCTCATCCAGTTAATAGCGCTCTCCGAGACATCGAAGTACTCGGCTGCCGTTGTCGAGATGGACGAGAAGGTTAACCACTGTATACGAGAGTCAGCGCACATGTAAAGTTGATATATGGATTAATCGAAAAGCGTAAAGAAGCGCATACATCCCAACTAACGACGATATTCAGCAATACCAGCTGGGCCAAACCCCAGAAGCGTCGCTTATAGACCTTGTAGATAGGTCGAGAGCCCTGCTCTGCATCTGGAGAGCGCTCAGAAGTCGACATGTCCACAGCGAAGTGTGACAGAGCAAATCCATTCCGTGCGGGCCTCTATAAGAAAATAGAACAAAGCGGCAGCTCACCTCTTTTTAGTCTCTTGGCCCATATCATGTTACTCTGGGGATCCGAGGTACACGCAATGGGTACTTGGTAGTACTTGATCAGCCCTACTGCGACGTTGCATTACGCAAGTACTATAGAGTACTTTAAGGTAGTACATAGCGGGGTTGATAGTTGAACCATGTGAGGTTGCTTATATTAATTTATCACTTTTGTCACTTTTATCACTGTTATCACACTGTTATCACTGTTAAATATTGTATAGGTACATATGTATCTTGTAGAATGTATCTCTACAATATAGTGGATTCGCTATAAACGAATCATCTCTTGAGACAAAGAAAGTGGAATGACCAACCTTGGAACTTATCTCGTTTACGTATTCAGGGGTAAGCTCTATACATCTACATATGTTACGGAGTATATGTATCTAAGACTAAGATATCTACTCCGTACATGGACAATTATTCAAATCGAACATATCATTTACAAATGTATTCTGCAGTAGAAATTGCCGTGGCTGAACCCTAAGGTGATGCCGATCTTGTGTTTTCTCCTTCACTCCCCGCCATCTTTTATTTAATATTAACCTTTACTTTTCGCTAAATACATTGAATCCCTCTCCACATCTATTCTCCTGATTGAGAAGGACCTACTACCTTTTCCCCCCGATCGCAAACCCCAGCGCCCGAATTCCATGATGCGTAACGCTTGTTCCTGAATTTCTCCTAAGCATTCTACCCGGAGTGACCCCGGCCATTGAACGACCATGAATATCAGTATGCGCTCCAGCCAGTCCTCTTACGGGGACCCGCGGTACCTCTCAACAATGACCGCCTCCGATGCTCCAGCCCCGGTGCCGCCGCACGGAAAGACACTCGTGGACGGGTATCGGGATGCCTTGGACCCCCAACATGAGGAGCGGTCGCGATACAACCCAGTGAGTACAGACAAAACACGCCAACCCGGGACCCCAGCTAACCATGGTTTTTTCATTCTGGTAGCTCAACCCGGCTCACCCGCGAAGCTCGGCCCTCCTGAACGCCAACGACCCCGTGGCCATGTACCTGTTGACCGAGACCGCCCTAGGGGATAGCACGAACTACGAAGTCCTATCCTTCGAGGAGGTGGAAGAACTCAAGAAGGAAGTCACATTGCTGTCCACTCGCATCCAAAGCACGAAACGGAAACTGGCGCTCGAAACGAAACTACGTGACGCGGCGCAGTCCCTCGGTAGACTTTACAGCCCACCCAGCCCGCGAAGCAGCGGCGAATACGGTGCCAATGGCGGATCAAACTCGAACCGGATGAGCCGGGGTATATTTGGTCGCAGTGGGGCTTCCGAGGCCCTCGATAAGAGTGACTCTGAACTCGCAGTCAGCCAGCGGCGATGCGAGGAGTTGGCGCAGGAACTCTGGAAGCTCGAGAAGAGGTCGCAGAAGATCAGCCAGCGCTTGCTGGAGCATACTGCGGGTATTTTGCAGATGACACACAAAGGTCTGAAGAAGGGTCCTAAGAACCCTACCACTTCGGATAGCACCTATGATGATCAGAAATTCGACGACCGCAGTCTCTACCGGACAACTGAGCATTTGGATAGCTTTGGTGTGAACGGGAAGATTGAGACCAATGCGGCCGCCGCGATGAATACCGAGGCTATGCAGGCCACAGAACGACGATTGGAGGAACTAAGCGAGCGCATGCATGATATGATGATACAGTCCAACCCCGGTGAATTCGTCGATCCTCCCCCGCAGCTGCCAGGGAGTGGAGGGCCCGTTAATCCCACATCAACGGTCGATGCTCATTTGACCTATATCGAGAGTAGTATGAGTAATATCGTTTTGCATACGGGAGAAGTTTCTGCTCCCTCGGCTGCTCGCAGTATTGCACCTGAGGCCGAGGACGCCTGGAAACACAAACTCACCGAAATCAACAACCAAGTGCAAACCATCGTTGATCGGTTTGGTTTGACCCGTTCACCGACCTTGCCTCCGCCCCCTGATGCGTCTCACGGCGATGGGCTGCAAGAACAACTCTCATACCTTCAGACTGGTGTAGATGGCCTGGAGAGCCGAGTGGATGGAGTACTTGAGCAAAAGAGTATTCTCACCACGCAAATCCAGCAGCAGCGCGAGCTCAACTCCAAGTCGGACGCCGAACGCGATGCCCATATCGGCGACCTGACGGAACAGTTGACTCAAGTTCGCAGAGACCTTGAAGTATCCGAGCGTGAAGGCAATGCCAACCGCGACGAGCTGGCTCTTGTCATGGGACAGCTCAACGCAATGCGCCAGAATGGCACTTCTCAGGAAGAAGCCAAGGCAACTCTGGTTCAGGCCGAGGGCGAAGTCGCGCGTTTGCAAAGCGTTGTTGCCTCGTTGCACAGCGAAGCTGATGTCAGGACCAACGAAGTCAGCCAAGCCCTGGATGCCCAGGATCAAGCAGAGGCCGAGGTTAAGCGCCTACAACAATACATTGACGATCTACAGAGAGACAACGATGCCAAAGTTGAGGAAGTGAGTGATGCCCGCGACCGCGCAGAAGGAGAGGTCAAACGCTTAGAGGTTGTCATTACATCATTGCAAAATGACACCAACGCTAAGAGCGAAGAGGCCAGGGAGGCCCGCGAGCATGCGGAAGATGAAGTGAAGCGTCTCCAGGTGGTCATTGCATCTTTGCAGAATGATAATGATGCTAAGAGTGAAGAGCTTAGAGAAGCCAGAGAGACCCACGGCCATGCGGAAGACGAGGTCAAGCGCCTAGGGGTCGTCATCGCATCGTTGCACAATGACCACGACGCTAAGAGTGAAGAGGTCAGAGCGGCCCGCGACCATGCGGAAGATGAAGTGAAGCGTCTACAGGCCATCATTACATCGTTGCAGAATGACAACGACACTAAGAGCGAAGAGGTCAGAGAGGCCAGAGAGGCCGGCGATCATGCGGAAGACGAAGCCAAGCGTCTCCAGGCGGTCATTACATCGCTGCAGAATGATACCGACGCTAAGAGCGAAGAGGCCAGAGAGGCTCGCGATCATGCGGAAGACGAAGTGAGGCGCCTAGGGGTCGTCATTGCATCAATGCAAACTGAAACCGACGCTAAGATGGGAGAGGCCATAGAGGCCCGCGGCCGTGCGGAAGACGAAGTCAAGCGTCTCCATGCCATTATTGAGACTTTGCAAAATGACACCGATGCTAGAGGCGAGGACGTCAAGGAAGCCCGGGACCGCGCGGAGAATGAGGTCCAACGCCTGCAGAACGTCGTTGAAACGCTGCAAAACGATAGCGATTTCAGGTCCGAGGAAGTTAGGGGTGCTCGTGACCGCGCAGAGCAAGAGGTGGCTCAACTTGAAGCCGCAATCCAACAAATCCGGATTCAATCCGATGCCCGTATCAAGGAAGCGGATGATCAGCGCGCGCAATCCGACCACAACGTCACTCGCCTGCAGAATGAGTTGACTGAACTTGAAGGCGAGATTGTGCGGGTCACAACTGAACTGACAATGGCCAAGGCAGAGCTAGACGGTGCCTATGGTACTCGAGCCGAACGCGCGGCAGAGGTGGCTTCCAATCCTAGTGTCCAAAGGGAGAATGATGCTCTGGTTACTCGAAACATCGAGCTCACTGAAGAACTGGCTGCTCTGAAGAGCCAGCGAGGAGGCGGCGATCTTCAGCAGCGGGTGGATACTCTTGAAAGAGAACTTCGTGAGACCCTCGATGACTATGAAGCCATGACGAAGGCCAGCATCGAGTTTGAGAAGGAACGCGAGCGCTTCGAAAGTTTCATTGACAGTCTCCGGGATCGTTGTGAGCAACTCGAGACACAACTGGCGGAAGAACGTATCAGCTGGATGAATTTGAGTAGTCCCACATCTATAGGCCGCGATGGCACTTCTGAGACGACCTCTACTATGGTGCTCAAGAATGAGTTCAAGAAGATGATGCGTGACACGCGCAACGAGAACATGAAGATACTGAGGGTGAGTTATACTGTACCTTTTGTTTCTTTTCGACCTAACTGACACCACCTAGGCCGAACAAGAAGAGCGTCGCAGAATTGAAGGATTACTGCGAGCCCTAAGAAAGGAGCACGCCCAGGTGACTGGCAAGCCAATGCCCAGCCCAGGTGGCACTCCATTATGATGATGACATTCAAGGTTTTCGGGTTTAGAGCGCATATTCATTCAAGAGTGTACATATAGACTGTTTTGTATAATACTTTTCTGGCTTGATCTCGGCAGGCACGATGAGGGTTGATGGTTTTTGAGGGAATCACATACTCATCTTTGGTAATTTCACCTGTCACTCTCCAAGTATATTTTAATCTTGTCAGGCTTCGCTCTTTTGCCTTCAAGATGATTCCCCGAGGAAGAATCGATCAGTCCAGTAACCCTCATGCGCGGTTTTTTTCAGCATCACAGAGCCTCCGACGTGGAAAACACCCTCGCGATTCCGACTCCGTTTCACCATACGATAACCCAGACTCATCTGAGTCCATCCTAAGCGATGAGCGATCTATATACAATGCGGTTAGAGTCACCACACCAAAGGATTCCACCCCTCGTTTCTATGCGTCTCTCCTCCATGATAACCCCGTTCACGAGCAAGGCTTAGCGGTAAACATGGCCAGATTCGTTCCTACAGATTCACAGGATGATCATACTCCTACCACTGTGCCAACCAGGAGAGGAAGACGGCAGAGGATGGTACGGAAGCTTGGGAACCACACCAAGCTGCTATCTGACCAGTGCTGGCAAGCCACACACCGGTCGAGACCTCTGAGTAAAACGACATCGGTACTAGACCCCGGTCGGTCTTTACATCGTAAAGCGGTTTCCCTCGATGCAAATGAGCATAGTATACGCCGGCCTAGATGGCCTGGGAACTTGGAACCTGCAGTGAAAATCGTCCAACCTCTATATCCACCGCTAGAAAGAACGCCTACACCCCCTGGCCTTCCCTCCTTCGGCTCGTCAGAGGCTATGTCCGTCTCTGCACGGTTCATGATTCCAGACAATATTGCATGGTCACCCGCAAACTTGCAAGGTAATGGTCCTGCTGGTGGTCAGCGTAGCAGTTCATATGGCGACACTCTAAGGAGATTATTTGGCTTGCCACCTTCTGCGTCTCATGCTGAGCTTTCCGTTAATGGTATAGGAAGAGCCGAGGATGGCACGCTGGTACAGGGCCGGTTTCCCCATCGACAAAGCGGCCATGGAATGAACGTCGGTCGACCACTGCATGACCACCCTTTCCATCAACGCAATCTTCCCAATGCTCGCCACGAAGCCACAAATACAAGCTACGACCCTTATGTTGAAGCTGCACAGACAAAGGGTGCTCATGGGCGAAATTCAATCAGACATGTCCAGCCTCTAGCCAGGCCCCCGAGACGACGTTTCCCCTTTCCATCGAACCCGGCCCCTGCAGTGGTAAACCGCCGCCCGCGGCCCAGAGCCACTGCACTTCTCAGCTTGCCGCGCAATCTGACTGGATCAGACGGTCCTGCAGATCCAGCGGAACCTTCTGCTCAAGGGACGAGGGCAAGTGGCGACCATATCCCTCCCAATCCATCGCGGTTGCATTCGGTTTTGACAATGACTGGGTGCGGCGGCGGTGCAGATGAAGATCCTCACGCAAGCACGTCCGTCTGTCCGGAGGTTTTGGCGTGGGTGAAGACCCAGAGATGCCTCTTCTGCTGCTGCTGCTGCTGCTCGGGCAGCCACGAGGAGCCGGATGATTCTCTCGGGGCAACCAGCTCGCGGGATACATATGTAACCGCCCAGAGCCAGGTGTCGCCTGTTGGATCTCAGGATGAAAACAGTGAGGGGAATACCCGTCTCCATGGCTTTCAGGCATGGATCTCATCTCTGTACGGTGTCATGTTTCCGACTCTTGTGAACCCTGCTGCTGTATAAACTTTGATTGTAGTATATGTTCATCCACGGCCTGCTGTGTTGCTACTGTGATGATTTTTTTTTTTTTTTCTGAATGCTCAATGCACAAATCCGCTTGCTGGATGGTCTTATTATTAACTTGAACCTGTCTTTCTCCCGCACTTACATATATACGTGCCTAATTCCCTCTGTCGCCTCTTGTCGTTCCCTTTCCGTTGTAGTACTCGGAGCTAAATGGACTCTCGATAGCAATCCGCAAGCTAGAATAAAACTGGACTTTTGCAATACTTGTGCAGTCAGATCCCTCCGTAAGTCGATCTAAATCATTCATTCCACGTACCTTTTCTATTTAACTATAACCCACGCAACTTCACAGCAACGCAGCTATAAAATATACATATATGCTATAGGACCTTTAAACACACTAGTATATTAGACTTGGCTGTCAAGGTATCCGAATGTTCTATGCGCTATTATATCTAAGTACTTTGCCCGATGTTATATAAAATACATAGCTATGCTTGACTCCGGTGTATAAATTCAACCATAAGCACGTTCACCGTTAATTTATCTCCGGGAATGTGTTCCTGTATCACGAAACTTACCTACAAAACCCCTCTACTGATACCTAGTGTGCAGTCCGAATTAGCTCTGCAATATATACTAATACTGCATGATAAGGACGCTTAAAATGGAAAATTTGATAGAAGCATGGCATGCATGTGTACTGTTTAAGAGGGATTCGAGGGGTTTTCGGGGGTTTCCACATTGTCTTATATTACATTGATAACTACCTACATAGGTATGTAGTCTGAAAGGAGGGATGGTGTGATGACCTGAGGCCTTCACTATCTGTTTGCCCACGACATCCTCTTCCTCCTTAATAGCCAGTGAGAAACATCCATGCCTCCTCCCTTTCTCCATCCATCAAAAGATGAATCCGAACTTAGCAAGAAGACAGAGACGACTGTCCCTTGCACGAAGCAGTTGAAGTCAGCTTGGGGCTCTCCTTATCGTCCGACTTCTCAACTCCCTCGAACTCCTGGCACACGTGCTTGACGCTGGATCCACAGGTGTCGCTGACTTCGGCCTGATCGCCGTAGTTGGAGTTGATTCCCACCAGGGTAGGCACGTTGTTGGCCTTGACATTCTTGACCACGACCTTGCGAGGGCTCTTGCTCTTGTTGTTGCTGCAGTTGCCGCATGAACGGTACAGCTTGCCTGCATTCACAATGGTGAATCCATCAATGGTGACGGTTCCGGCACCGTTGTGCTGCACGACCTTGTCCTTGGCCTCCTGGGCACCTCCGCCCTGAATGAGAGCGTTTCCGGATCCGAGGATGGAAATGGCGTCCTATAGAAGACACATTAGCATTGCTTGATCAGATACACATAACCAGATAGACATGGGACGACTCACCTCGCAGACGTCACGGAACCAGACGTTGGTCAGGGTGCAGGATCCCTTGCAGTGAATGCCCTCGAGTTGGTCCTTTCCAATGATCACGTTGCTCAGGGATGCACCGTCCTCCAAGATGAACACGGCGTTGTCGGAGCCTATTCAATCAGCTCCATTCATTTGGACTTGGCTTTTTATGTGGACATACCGGTGTCATCATCGTTGTTGCAGGCACGACCACGATCGTACTCCCCGTTACCCAGATCAACCTTGCCCTTGATCACACTGGGAGAAGGCAAAGAGACAATGCTGCCCACACGAGAGGGAATGTTGAGAGTCTGGGCACTAGCAAGGCCAATGAGACCGAGGATGATGGCGCTGGAGTGCATTTTGCTGAGTTGATGGTTGATGATGGTTAGTGATAGTTGATCAAATCGGGGGCCAACACAGAGCCTTTTATATCTTTGGAGATCATAACAAGATAGGACCTAGGGAGTACTTCCTCCGTCAGATATACAGCTACAAGACTCCTCAATATACATGAAGAAATTCAACGACATCTGACTGGAGGGATTCGATGCATTACCCCACGACTGTGACTAGTTATGCAGGATCCAGATCCCAATTTGGCCGGGATGCACATTCTATCTCTACCTTTCTGTGGGGACATAAGACATTTTCTAACGTCTTACCTGGGTATTATCCGCCTTGGCACTTCATTCCGCTCTATGTAGCCAATACGAATACACAGTTATAGTGAAAATGCCAAAGGCCAAGATTTTGAAGTATTGGCATTGTGGCTGTGTATGCGGCCTTGAAACTATCCACGCGATTAGAAGATCCACCAACCAAAAAGGCTAGACCTCGCCGTTTTGGCAGGCTTTCATGGATATCACAGCTTACTCCAGGGAATAGGAAGGCTACGAAAGGGAATAGACTACATGAGGGAGGCGAGAAAGGAACTATGAAAAAGCCAGGGAGATAAATGTGAGTCCTATCTAGTTATGTAGCTAGAGCTAGATTCATTCCCTTGTCAAGGGCCCCATTCTTAAAGTATATTAGAGTTCCTTATACGCACCTCACCGCGCGCTAGCGCTCTTGAGGCCGATTGGAAGTCCTTTAGAAGGCCTCTACCGGAATTTACCCGAAGGTGGTATGGGCCCGGAGTATACTCCATACAAAGCCGTGAAGATATCAACGTGGGAGGGTCCTTCGCGCACTATACCGCAAGAGTACGGGTCTAATGCTCACATGAAGGAATTCGAAGCTTTGTATCGAGTAAATTGGCTCCAACGAGAAAAATCGGCGGTGTCCCTTTCGAATGAGAGAAGATCCTTCGAGAACGCAAGAGGAAACGATTCCGTTGTAGTTATGAGCGCTTCCAGCTGTGTATATTCACTGTGCTTGGAAGAGTATTTACGGTGAATTAGCCTGTTCTCCCCACACTACTATCCAAACATCTACGCTGCTGAAATTGGTGGAAATATAACCTTCCCCTTCGGCCTTGGCGCTGGATGCCAAGATCGGGGTTTTTTTGTTGAAACCCCGGAACTCTTGGCAAGAACTTACTCCTGATGTTTCGAATTCCAAGTGGTTTCGGCGAAGAGGTACTTCAACAGAGGGAGAGTTAGCCTCTGTTGAAATTGCCCTTGCAACTTACTCCTTTTCCTCTTGAGAGCTTCCAATTTGGTTTTTGCTACGGAGTATATGATCTTTCAACAATATACAACACTGTGGGGCTGAATACCGCTTTAGGTATGGACTGAATATGTGGGCTAAATACTCCGAGATCAGTAGACGTCCACCTGTGCAGATCCTGGGTAGGTCCACGGGTACCCCTGGGGACTATCCAAGTGGCCAAAGAGAGTGGAGTCTGATCTCAGGATCCGAGAGTGATTTCTGATCACTCGACGGGTGTGGTCTGTCCGGTGATGTGTCTCAGAGCAACCTTGAAAGCTCACCTGGTCCTGGACCGAAAATTTTTACTCGGAGAGCATTAAAGCGAAAATAGGCAAACCTGGCTAGGGAAATACGCTACAGCACTGGAGGTACATACCTTGAAGATGGGGTTCTCTACGCTGAAAACAGTGATTGTTTCCTATCCGTAGCTACGGGAAAACTTTTGAGCCCTTCGAATCCACAGTTCTTCTCGCAATTACATTGATGTATGTAGTTAGTTTCGGTTATACCTATGTACTTCGATCAATCCCTCACCATATACATAGATATAATCCTCACCCAGAAGCTGAGAAAGTCCAATCCCTCGGAAACAACCCATACTGCACATCATCCCTATCCCGGAAGATATCATTATAATATGCGGGGCAAGTCTGCGGGTCCTCAGCTTGCGCATAGTACCTATCCCCCAGCGTTTTAAACACCGGATCACTCCACATCCTCGCCATCCATGCCAGCGCATCAGGTCCAGCAGCATCTAGCGGAAGACCATAAGAGCGGAATCGCTAGAGATATAAGTCAGCCAAATGCCCCGAGAGAAAAAAAGAAAGAAACATACCCAAAGAATCGGCCAAAAGAAGGCATCCGCAATACTAAACCCACCAAACAAAAACCCATCATCAACCTCACCCAGCAGCGCAAGCCTCTCAGCCGTCACCTTCCGCGCCGAATCCCAGATCCGGAACATGCGCGCTATCTCTGCAGCCGCACCATCCGGGACCGGCACGTTGCCCGTGTACCTGGCGAGGAAGTTTGTGGGGAAGGTATTCCGCAGGACTGGGAAGCCGGAATGCATTTGGGCTGCAGCGCTGCGGGCTAGAGCGCGCAGGTGGCGGTCTTTCGGCCAGAGGGGGAGGGATGGGTTTGATTCAGCGAGGAATTCGCAGATGGAGAGGGAGTCTGTTATTGTTGTTGAGGGGAGGGAGTGGCATTGCAGGATTGGGACAAGGCCTGTTGGGGAATAGAGCTTTATCTGTATGGTTTATGTGAGTGACTGTATACTCAGGTCTGTGTTGAGGATGGGTCTAGGTAGATCTACATACCTCGGAGAGCTGTATGAATTGGCGTGTGTGGGGAATCTGGAAGTATTCCAGTACTGCTTCGACACGTGCTGTCCAGCCTATTTGGAGAGGGCTTGTTAGTGAAGGCCGCTGGTTTATGATTGCATGATGCTTACTGGAGTAGCGGGTGTGTAGCCCGATGAGGTGGTAGTCTGGAGTTTGGGTGGCCATGATGATATGTAGAACTGAAGTGAGGTTATGAGTCTGGGGGAGGTTCCATGTAGTTATTATGGATATACTACTACCTGATGAGTCATGTAATTTTTTTCAGTCCATGGGTCCCACATCCCACATTCCAATTGAGAGATGAAGACAATTTTGCCGAGGTGGTTTATGTAAAGTGAGCTTGTCTTGAGTTGAACCTTTCTGATTGATGCTAGTCATAATGATATAGATCAAATGCTACACCGGCGCCATGCAGGAAAGATAACAATGAGAATGAAAAACAAAAGATAGAAAAAGAAACTCCGAAAAAGATATGACACCCGGATAGCCAGGAATGACTCTTAACAAAGAAGTCGAAATAAGAAATACATCATTAAATAGAAAGCAAGGGCCCATCGTATGTATATGACACGACATTGAGAAGATGGGCAAGGAGAGGGCAAGGGGTGGGTGGCCGGAGAGAGAGACGGAAAAAGCGTAGGAGCAAGGAGCAATGCACCAGGCAAAGAAATCACAACGCGATCGCATGGATGCTAATAATAAAAGGTCGTCAAGTGAATTGAGCCGTCTCTTCATCAGAGGGTTCACAATCCGCGCCCAGGAAGGGCAATGCAGGAGATGCACCGAAGTAAAATAAGAGCAGATGTTGGTATTAAAAGGCGTAAAGGCGAGAGAAAGATCAAAGCCCCTTGAAGAACGGACTCGCCTCAATTATATCTTCATCATCGCAGGCAAAATCCCATCCGACAATGCGAGGGTCCACGCTGGCACAAATGAGCTTCCGTGCGTCAAACTGGAGTTTGAACACCCTCGCAGCTATCGCGGACCCTTGAGGTCTGCGTTGGTGACCATGGTGGTGGTGATGGTGAGCAGGAGGTGGGTGGGCTGGCACAGAGTTGATAACCAGAGGAGGCACAAGTGGCGGGTTGTCACGACCAGCGTGGGGGTTGACATTGGCATTTTGCCCAAGTGTCGCCAGAGCCTGTGCTGCTTGCAATTGTTGAGCCTGGGCAGAAACAGTGGTTCGCGCCAGTTGGCTGAGGCTCGCACGAGCGGAATTCGTGATGGCATCATTGTGTCGCAGTTGATGATCTGTTGTCCACTTGTTATCACGGTCTTTGTGCCAGATTAAGATTGACTCGTCGTAGGAACCGGACACGATACGGGCCCAGCTACTACCTCCACCACCGGGTGGGATTTTTGCTCCCAGGGCAGGGATATCGCGAGGGTCCCGTGATCCCCTAGTGTTCGGTTGGTAGCCATTGCGGCGTTGCTCCCGACGACCCATGTCAACGTCCAATCCGGCCTCTTGAGCGGCGAAGAACGCATTTTCACACGTTCGCACTTCTCCGCGCAAGGTTTCATCGGCACCTGGAGCATCACCAAACCCTGCTTGAAGGGTGCGAACGAGATTACTATGAGCTCGCAGACACGCCACCTCAGCTCCGGTGGCGTGATCGTAGATACGAACAGAGTTATCATTGCTCCCACTGACGATTCTTCGGCTGTCGAATTCAACACATGCAATGCCTTTCTCATGGCCAAGCAAGGTCTTCGAGCATGCACCAGTGCGGATGTTCCAGACCTTGATCACTCGATCTCCAGATGCTGTCACAATATCATCACCGTGAATCTGCATTGCATTCACGGCAGCTCCATGTCCTTCCACGGTCATAAGCAACGTGTAAGGCTCTAGAGCTTTGTATTGATCATGTGCAATGCCGGCTTCAAGAAAGCTTGGTGCAACCGCGTCGATATCTATTATCCATGTAGGATATGTGGCGCCTGATCCATGGCAGATACGCGGATAATCCTTGCTATTCGGTAGAAGATCTCGGCGGTTCCATACCTTCACAGTTCGGTCTTTGGAACATGTTACAAGGTAGCGATGATCGAATTTGAGATTGAGCACCGAGTCGAAATGCGCGTCTTTAATTTGACGAATCTTTTCTCCCGTGGAGAATTTCCATATGATGACGGACTTGTCACTGCTGCCAGAGATGATGATGTCTTCCTCGGGTTGAGGATCAAATTGCAGGCAAAGTACGGACTTGACGTGTCCCACCAGTGGGGGGTGCCACAGTCTTTTAGTATCCAGGTTCCAGACTCGCACAGTCCTGTCTCGGCTCCCACTGACTAACCATCGGCCTTCGAACTGGATCGCATATACGCATTCCCGATGAGCCTCGTCTGGATGGCATGGGTCAGGAAGTTGAAAATTGGTGTAGCGGCCTTGATGCCAATTTGCTTCGAGGCGCCTGCGTTGCTTGTAGACGTGGAAATAATTGACTTTAGCGCTTCCGTTGGTATCCCGCATGAGAAGATGCGACCGTAGAGGTGGGTACAGCGGCGAAGAAGATTCAGGTATATTAGTTGGCAGAACGGACTCCGGGTCATCAGCGAACGAAGGTGCAGTTTGGTCGTCATCGTCAGTCATGTGGTGATCGCCTTCACTATCGGCCACCGGGGGAACAGGGTCAAACACGGTCGGTCTTTGGTTTTCATCGCTTCGTGAATCGAGCCAGGTTGACGGCACGCGCTTTTTCTGCTTAGGTTCCCCGATATCTAGTTCCGAGTGTCGTAGGCGGGACTTCCGGGTCTGAGGCGACATGGCCTCTGAATGTTCTTGCTCAAACGCACGAATCGCGCCTGTGTCCATTTCCCAACCTTCATGAATATAGTGGAATTTCCACAGACCCGAGTCAAGGATACGTTCACGCCATGAGCGGGATGCAAGCGATGCATTCAGGAGCGTCCGAATGTCGAGATAGGTAAAGATCTCCCATGTGATTTCCGGGGGAAGCCTGACGCATGGGTCAATATGGAGGATGGGGTTAAGTCGATCAACTACTGCGGCGATGCTTGAGGTTCGTAGAGACCGAAGAAGGCTGTATGCGAGCTCTAGAAGTGGGAAAAAGGTCGGTTAACAAGGAAAATCGCAAAAGCGACAAGCAAAAGAAGCGAATGCTGCGCGCTCGTGGCAATCACCACAGTGGGGAAGGGATAGGGATATCTTACCAGCTCTACCGGCCTCAGACTGGGCGAGCACCCAATTTGGAAGCGCCATGACATTGTCCGATCCCAGATCTTTGTCGGCCTGACTTCGAGTATCGTCCGAATAGCCTTCATCTAGCCTAAACGAGGGTGACAGAGAAGGCGTGGAGAACTCGGGGACGGTAGTAGTCTGCAATTGCAGCGCAGGGGAGACTTGAGCAGCGGGGGCATCGGGGGCATCGGGAGCATCGGGTAAGGGCTCACCCTTCATTGATGCGGGTTTTCAGAGGGGTCTGCACCGAGCTGATGGGTCGGACGCCGAGATCAATGGCGTTGCGCGATAGCTGCGAAATCCTACAAGGAACTTTTAAGCCCCGGGGGTGATTATAGAAGATTAATAAATGAGGATAGGGTCCTTTTGTAAGAGGGTTGGGAAAAGGAAGGAGGTTGAGTAGATGGGTTGGTCTCGGTGCATGTCACGTCACGTTTGGGCGAGGCAAGGCCCACCTGATTGATAGAGCACAATTATCGCGAGCTAGGGACTTCAGTCGCAAAGTGGAACAAAAAAATGGAGAATCCGAGAATTCAATTTAAATCCGAAGAAAAAGAAGAATTTCGGTGAAATTTAAATTTAAATACCGAGCTATCCTAAAAAGCCCTCCCATCACTCGAAGTAACATTCGAATAAATACGTTTGATTATGTAGGCACGCGTTAAATGGACACATGGTTTTCCCCTGTGAGTCACGTGGGTTGAGTCTCTATAGTGCTATAGCAAAAACATGCATAGCTGAGTTCTTCATGAGAAAAGCAGGTTATTGATAAAGAGAACGAAAATATCAATCAAAGAAAAGTGGAAAGTCAAGAACGGGTCCATTCCTCCATGTCTCACATACCATTATGTTGCCGTAGAAGCAACTCGTAGTATATAGGCTGTTGTATTAGATCCAGATTCCTCTATATTCTGGTTAGGGCAATAGCTACGGTTAGAGGGCCCCATGTCTAGTTAGTCTGGGGAAAAAGAATAATACTGATTGCATTTTCCAAAATAGGTGCTAATATAGTGCTAATATAGTGCTATTACGTCGAAGGGAACCGCTAAAATCTGTCTTACAATTGCACAGACCATTTATAAGCGCTAAAGACAGTCCTGGAGCCCCTGGAGGAGTTAATAATGTTCTAGAGCAGAAATATTTTAGTAGTGAGTACTCCGTACTCCGTATATATTTTCCCTATCTGGTTTAGTGGATGTACCTTTTGTATGCGAACCCTATATAAGATGTACCACTGAACTATGCATAAATATAAAATCTCCAACATCAATACGGCTCTCTTCTTTCAGCCCTCCAGCCCCCAAGCCCTCCCCTGTGGTCTTGGGTTACTTAGCCCCAAGGCCTCAAGCCCTGGAGGTGAAGGGCTGCTGACACAAGCAAAAGCCAACTGCCCCTCTCCACATCACACCGCCCCATAAAACACACGCTAAACCCTTTGAGGCAACTGAACAGACTCCTTCGGCTCACCCTCTCTCCAAGGATCTTATTCCTCTGTGTTTCATCAGGAGAACTCTTATCTGCTGTGCTTGCTCTTGTTGTTTCGGTTCTTGACCTCATTTAACCTGCCGAGCCCGTCTTGTTTTTGGCTTCTCTTATTCTACCATTCCGTGCGCCCCCTTTTTCTCGGGACGTCGATTGTCCTCCGCTGAGTCCTAGTGACTGGCCTTTTCGCAAAGGTGTTCCTCCGAACTCTCTTTAACCTGATTTGACTCGCCTGCCCGGCTGCAGCGGTCATTTAAAACACCTGAATTCCCACACCCCATCGATTGGGACTGGCTGCAGGTCGGAATATATTACTCCAGCCCCTCCTTTTCCTCTAGAAAGTGACGGTGCATCGTATTTGATATCCGCGCTATTGGTTCAAACAGATATACCTATATTTATCACCTGTTCCCTCTGATCTCGAGGGCGCTTCCCGGGATCCGTATCTGAAACAATCAAGCCTGCGACCGAGAACCGA